ACAAAGCAATGAAGATTTTTTCTCTTTATAAATAGATGTACAAATTTTAAACAACAACCACAATGAATAATATATCAGGACAATTTCGTAAAACAATATGGGATCCTTTCCTTATAATATCCCAAATAATAGCTGTTCAGTCGATCATGTATTTCTGTCTTGCACTATGGATTTGGATTATTGCTTCATTCCTTGGATCAACAAAGTCATTAGATTATGCTTTCCATTATAAGGAAATACATGTTCGAGATTTTGCTGGTCAACTCACCATAGTTATTTTCATTTTAAATTCACTAGTCGGTGCGTTTACATTATGGTGGTTAGTTCAAAGAACAAAGCAATGTATGGATTTCGCGTGTACAGCACACTTAATACACTTGTTGTGTTGTTGGGTATACAATGCAAGTTTTCCTTCAACTTTCAGTTGGTGGTGTTTAAACATTGTATCTCTTAGTATAATGTGTGTTTGTGGTGAATTTCTTTGTATGAAAACAGAATTACAAGCAATACCATTAGGTATGAACAGTCATAAAACAGCTTTGTAACATATATATGGAAGTTATTTAAATGTGATCACAAAAGTTTCAAGGTTTTATTCAATAAAGATTACCATTAAATTGCAATTAAAAAGTCTCACAATGAATACATCTTATATTATATTTTTAACATTGATTATAATAAATATTTTTTAACATATTTACAAGATTCACATTTTATTGCTATCACTTGTACTATGTGGAATACATTATTTAGTGGTGATCTTCTTTGTAAAAGCGCAATCCACAATATCCACAACTATGGTCACCAGGTTTGTCCTGAAACATTAATTACAAATATTTACATCTCACTGCTATGTACATTCAATTAATGCAATGATTTTTAATTCTCACTAAATTAATGTAAACTTTTGGATGTCCCAGAGGTCCACCACCACCATTGCAAGCTACAATCCTAGATTTTGTGGGTTCTGGTGGGACTTCTGCTATCAGTTTAATAGCCCAATTGTCATTAACTTCTTTTGGTCTATTTATAAACCTTACGTTACGATAATCATCTTCATCAAATTTCTGTTACAAAACAATTATTTAAGGAAACTCAAATATATTTATTTTACGGCGTTATGTATGTATAGAAAACGTAAATCTTACCTGATCAGTATGGGTTACTTTCTTAGCAGAATCGTCAATTACATCGTGTATATTTCTGGTTAATATACTTGCGAAATTGTATACTTTAGTAGGAGTTCTAACAAATCCAACAATCTTTTTGCTTGCCATTTTTCTTAATGTTAACCAGCGTATGAACACTGATGGTCATTCAATATATTGTTTTGTTAATACGACACGAACACCCTCTATCGAGATCTGTTACTACTGCTACTGTAATTGCTGTATGTAACGTATACTATATATAATCGTAACTCTGTGATGCGATGTACATCTAATTATTAGCCAAAATGATTATCAATTGGATTATTTAATGAACAGAATGAGATAGAGTAAGCAAAGTATAGGATTGTATTTCTTTTTTTCCAGCACCGTCCTTACCTCAAGTTATGCACAGTACAAAATAACCAATGGCGGGTATTTCGAAACTCGCGTCAATACATTCATCTTTTCTACAGACTTTATATACAAAATTTATATAAAAATACATACTTTATATAAAAATTTATATAAAAATATATTGAAAAATGTATGTACATATTATAAATTCAAATCGACATTTTATATCGCAATGTTTACAGAGATATAAATCTAACTGATTAATTGAAAAAATTTATCGTTTAGATTGCAATGATACATTATTTAGGTCTTGCCCTATACATATTTTGTAAGTTTAAATCGTTGATGTTAATGTACTTAGAACATAATCTAATAATAGTTACTCATATAATATATATACATTATATATGTATATGTGTTGTATTTGTAATAAATAAACACACTTTTATCTTTAACTAACATTTTAAGAAAAAAATTTATATAATATATACGTATGTACTTATCTTACGAATGATTCATGTCAAATAACTTTTGTTTTGCAATAAATTAAATTCACCTCACAGAATATTCCTCGGTAAATTGGATTCTAAAATAATAAATTATTTAATTCGTTAATAGAAATTGGATTATTGTAAAAAACCATGCGCGTACTGCAGTCTGCAGTGAAGACGCTTTGTAATAACTTTTATCCCTTTAAGAACATGGGGTAGTTAAAGGATCATGCGTGGATGCGGTAATCTTTGAATCCCGATGTACCCTTAGTTGAACACGCAGGACGGGAATCAATAGTATTGTAGAGAAAGGTATACAATGAAAAATTATAGTCATATATGTGAAAATATGCATAAAAATGGTAGATATTGATTTGTTTTGGTTAAAAATAAATATGCCGTTTGCTTTTGTTGCCTTAACTCGACGTTATATTATATACGCGTCCATATGTTTATGCGGAATCTTACAGTATTTCGAAAAAATGTAATTTTTCAAGTATAATTATCTGCTTTTCAGTGTGTAGTACAAACTATACAATATTTTGGTATGCTGTGTATTTACTTACATAGTTTAGTAAAAAGTGTACAACCGAAATGACATAGAGAAATGGGTAAGTACACAAATTAAATGAAGTGCTAATTTAATCTACGCTGACTACATAAAATTGAAATTATATAGGGTTGTAAATTTAATATGCTTGGAGCTTAAATTGAAAATGGATGTACATGGCATTGGGATTGTTGCTGTTTTGGGAACAGTTGGAGCTGCAACAGGAGCTATTTCAGCAGTTCTCGTGTATGCAATGTGTATTAGACGCAGACGATCTCTTAACTGGTACATATATTTCAAACATAATTATTTTGTGAAAATAAAGAATAATCAAATTTGTAGTTAACAAATTGAACATAACATCCATATACTCTCTCTCTCTCTAGGTTTGAAAAAGATTTATTAAACAGAGCAGAGGAAGCAGCACAATCACCAAAAAGTGTATTTGCTGGTTTAGGATCTAATGTTTCTCTAAGTAGAGAGAACAAAACTAATGATAATCAGTCTGATGATGAAGAATGGAAGTCTAGTTATGTACTTGATAATATCACAAGAGATTCGCCTAAAAGAGGTAATTAACAATATAGACAATGTCAATTATCTTTTTTGTTATTCTCTTTAATAATTCAATATTTGGTTTTAGCATTACAATATTTATCAGAATCTGAAGATGTTTCATCACCTATTAGCACTTTTGCACCACCACTACCAGAAGGAGCAGTAGCTGCTTCTGAACAGCGTATGGTTATTCTGAAGCCATCAAGAAGTTCCAATTCGTGCTCTAGACTCAATAGTAGTGAGATTGAGACCCCTTCCCATAAGGTACAAATTTATCACAATTATATATTAAAAATCATTTTTATTTAAATCTTCATCTTTTATGCAACATAGTTATCCTCTTCCACATCTATATCTTCAACTGATGAAACCAGTGGTGAATTACAACTTGGTTTAATTTATGATGCAAGTGCTGGTATTCTTACTGTTAGACTAATTGAGGTAATTTCACATATACAAATCATATAGTATATTAACATTCTATCAATTACTTCTTCAATTAATAAATAAAATGTAAACATTAATTTATAAAGGCACGTGATATACATGCCAGAGAGCTCAGTGGTACTGCAAATCCTTATGCTAAAATTCGTCTGTTACCTGATGGAAGTAATGTATGGCAAACTCAAATACATAGACGAACTCTGAATCCTGGTAAATCATACAATAGTCGAATGATATTAAACTCTACATAATAATTAATACCAAATATTATGTATAAAGTATAAAATGTACAGCTTATAATGAAATTTTTCATTTTTATTATAATTCACAGTGTTCGAAGAGTTTTTTGTTTTCGAAATTATGCCTGATACGACGTTAGCTGGAAGAACGTTGGATATTTTACTTTACGACTTTGATGCCTTCTCCAGACATCAATGTTTGGGTCATGTACAAATCCCTTTATCTTCGGTAATGGATTTCTTAGACAAAACTCTTACTCTCATCACAAAACCAATTCTTCGATATGGTAGTGAGAATAGAATGAAAACACCATCCCTAGGAGAATTAATGGTTTCTCTATCATATCAACCAGCTGCAGAAAAATTAACAGTTATTATTGTCAGAGCAAAAAATTTACCTAATATAAATGATTCAATAAATGCAAACCTTTACGTAAAAGTAGGTATATGAGTAATATATGTAATTATCATTACATAAAAATACTATTCTTTGTCTAATGAAGTCATAACAAAATTTTTATTTTTTAAGGTGAAGATCATTCAGGATGGGAAAAGTATTAAGAAAAAGAAATCTAATATACAACGTGAAACAATTAGTCCTGTATGGAATGATACTTTAAGCTTTGATATTAATAGCGACATATTGTCCAAATGCGTAATTGAATTTATTATTTTACGCGCAAACGGTGAGGTGTTAACTAGATGCGAAGTATCCAATAAGTATCAAAAAGATCTATTTTACCGTGTATTATCAGGGAAAGGTGCTTCCGCGCAGTGGTTGCCACTCATTGAACCAGAAATTTATTATAGTGATTTTACTGAACAAAAAAATTAAGAATTTCGTAACAAACCGTCCCTCTTAAGTGTAAGTTAAATCACATACCTCAACCATTTTACTAATAAGTACATCAACCTATGATGCAAACTTGCGTTAAAAAATATTTGTCAAGTCATGAAACGTGACTGT